CGTTATGCTTCTCTCCGAAAAATGCTGCATTGTCAATGCTGATCCGATTCTATACTTAATCGGCGCAGGTTGGAGAATTTCACTTCAAAACACTTGTGTTATGTCGGTTTGCGTTGCTGAGTATACACAGGATTCGACAATTCAGAAGGGTGCGTTTGTAGTGTAATGGTTAGCATGGATGCCTTCCAAGCATTCGACGGGGGTTCGATTTCCCCCAAACGCATGAATTTTGCACTGTGGAACTGGAGAGCGCGTTATGCTTCTCTCCGAAAAATGCTGCATTGTCAATGCTGATCCGATTCTATACTTAATCGGCGCAGGTTGGAGAATTTCACTTCAAAACACTTGTGTTATGTCGGTTTGCGTTGCTGAGTATACACAGGATTCGACAATTCAGAAGGGTGCGTTTGTAGTGTAATGGTTAGCCTGGATGCCTTCCAAGCATTCCACGGGGGTTCGATTCCCCACACGCATGAATTTTGCACTATGGAACTGGAGAGCGCGTTATGCTTCTCTACGAAAAATGCTGCATTGTCAATGCTGATCCGATTCTATACTTAATTTGCGCAGATCGGATAATTTCACTTCAAAATAGTTGTGTTATGTCGGTTTGCATTGCTGGTATAGCACGCTGCTGATTCGGTATGCAAGCGCAAAATTCATGCGTTTGGGCGCGATGGGATCACTTTTCTTCAAAATGCTCGTGTTATGCCGGTGTGCATTGTTGAGTATTCACAAGATTCGACAGTTCACTAGTGGCCGTTTGTGGTGCAATGGTTAGCAAGGTTGCCTTCCAAGCCTTCGACGGGGTTTCGACTCTCCCAAAACGTAGGAATTTTGCGTTATGGAACTGGAGAATGCGTTATATTTCTCCTCCGAAAACTGCTGCATTGTCAGTGGTAAGCCGATAGAATACTTAATTAGCGCAGATGGAATAACCTTTCTTCAAAATGCTTGTGTTATGCCGGTGTGCATTGTTGAGTATTTTTTCAAGTTACGACAGTTCATAAGGAGTCGTTTGTGGTGCAATGGTTAGCAATGATGGCCTCCAAGCATTCCACGGGAGTTCGATATCTCCCAAACGTAGTGATTTTGGCAATTTTGCGTTATGGAACTGGAGAACGCGTTATATTTCTCCTCCGAAAACTGCTGCATTTTCAGTGGTAACCCGATAGAATACTTAATTAGCGCAGATGGAATAACCTTTCTTGAAAATGCTTGTGTTATGTCGATATGTGTTGCTGAGTATAATACATAAGTTTCGACAGTTCACAACGGAGTGTTTGTGGCGTAATGGTTAGGATGGATGACTTCCAACCATTCGACCGGTTTTCGATTGACCCGAAACGCACCAGTTTTGCGCTATGAAGCTGGTGAATACGTTATGTTTCTCCTCCGAAAACTGCTGGCTTGTCAATGCTATGCCGGTAGAACACTTATTTTATGGCGATGGAATAATTCTTCTTGAAGACGCTCGTATTATATCGGTATATACGATGTTGTGCGGACGGCTTTGATGCCGAATGCACACAGCAAGGTGTTAAAAAAACAGCCCAAGGCCAGTAGCATCTCTGGGGCTCGCCTATTTTATCTATGTCCACTTTTGGAAGGCCAACGATTTCGTTAATTAAGGAAATGAAATCAGAAAATCATGATTACAGCTGTCAAGGTACGTGAGCAACAAATGATTGTAGCAGGCTTTGGGATGAGCCTTAATCCACTACTTGGACGTTACTATCTTTGGGTTTTGTGAGTAGCTTAGTATTAATGCCTTACTTTCTCTAGTTCCATGAAATAAAAACATATGTAGTCCTCTTCATAATCTTTCAATGTGTATGGCTAACTATCTTCTTTTATGTAATGACTTGTGATACATCACTAACCTTTAGGCATTATTAGGCATCAAAGATTATTTAGGAACAAAGGAAAAAGCCCTGGGCGTTGATTGATCCCTGAGAAATTCGCCATGCATGCGAATCATTAAGCATCGTTATAGGTAATTGAATGCATGTCTGGTATTTATCGACTCGCGGTGGCGTAACGATGTATCGAGCCAGTGCTGCTATCCTCCAAGGCAAGTCTGGTACCAATTTGACGTCTCCGCGGGTATAGAGGACTTGGTGGGCCTGTTTTATGGGCATCGATCCCATGTGCATTGCAGAGCGCCTCCGACCATTGCGCTACACGCGCTCCATGTGAATGAGGGATATAGCTGTGAAGTTCTCGTTGAAGATCTGCCTAATAAGAATGCACTATACATTCGTCTCAGTTGATGGTGAAGGGAACTGCTGTACATTGACCTGCTCTAACTTACCAACAAATCAAGTCGTTACTTTTATCCATGTAGGCAAGTGATTTACCAACTTCTAGACCGTAGAGTGGTTGGGCGTGCCACTGAGCTCTGATTGTGAATTAGCTTCTGAGCTATAAGTGTAGGGCAAGATGTTTGCTCAGGAATAAGTACACGATCGAATACGAACTGAACCTAACACATGCTTTCTTGTTGTGTAACAATGTTGACCCATTTCTAGCTGGCGCTCTAGCATTCATTCGTATTGGGTGGGTCAGTCAACGTGTGATGTCTAGTGGTTAAAAACGGATGTCTAAGGTGAGTAGTTCTTTATGTTCGAGATCCTTTTAGATACAGTTGATTTAACCATAATGATTCTGAGGTATTTGCAAAATTTCGGACCGCAGGTGTATAAGGTGGTTAACGAACGCGCTTTTACCGTTTCAAGGAGCTGGCTCTTTCATCACCACACCATGCAGGTCCTTCGTTTCGCCTGTCTATTGGCTATTTAACTATTTCTAGCTGTTTAGCTATACAGTTGATTTCTATCTGATTCAGAATATTTAGAATCAAGGACCATTTTCACAAATGAACCTATGGCACGCTTTAGCACTGAACATTGAGGAAATCCCGTGTTAAGATGATATTACTGCAACATTTTCTAGTAGTGTTATATTCTTAGCCAATGTATCGGGTCCTTTCGATGTTAACTGTTACTTTGGCTTTAATTCAGTTCATCTGAATTTGTCGTCGTTCTGCTAAACCACTCGTGGTACGATCGAATCGTCTTCAGGAAGCTATTATGGGGAACTTTCGAGCATACTGTGATTACGAAGTTTAACCTCAAAGCAACAAACAGGCAGGATTGAGTTCAAGGAGGTAAAGAATGTTTCAGCGTTGGTGTCATACTAATTAAGCAACGGGAGCACTACTGAAAACTCGCTTTTTTACTTTACAAAGGGCATATTTTGCAAATACAGCCGAAAGAATACCTAAGTGTGGACCACGGTTTTCGCGAACTTTGTGCATTTGTGACACGGGCCATTCAAGCCGAACTCGTCAGCGGATTTGAGTGGTCCGGTATTCCTGCGGTATACAGGTATGTCCAGACTTCTGATGCGAAATGAAAAGAGAAAGAGAAACACAGAGTATCGGAAGAGTTAAATCTTGTTGACCGTAGTTTGACGGTCCGTTACCGTGCACTCTCTTTATATACAAGGACCTGTTAGTCTTTTTCTTGCTTTATTATGCAGCTAATGCTTTCAGTCGGAATGTCGTACTCTTATGGTCCCGCTAGAAAAGAATTTGTGAAAAATCTTCTTATAAGAAGCTGCGCAGTAATAATACTGATACTATAGTAATACTATTGAGAATAGTAATACTCCAATTACTATCAATTATTGTAAAACTAGGGGCGTTCGAAGTTACTTTGTTTGATGTTGGAAGATCCCCGTAACTTTGGTGGCTAGTTTTTAAACTGACACTAACAAGAGATCACAATGTAATCCATTTTTTTCACTGCTTGTGCTTTTTTCATGACAGTACAATGCTGCTGAGATATTTGCAAAACTCCGGACCAGGTTCGCGGCGGGGATGGAAGTTCGGTGTTACCCTTTCCTCTCAGCATCATTGTAGTTGTATTCCATAACAAGGAATCGTTGTGCTTTTATGGCCTAGATATTCAAAGACTTCAAGTCTTTATTGATCTCTTACCATTGGTCTTATTGCGATTAATCTTAACTGGCTTTAGAAATGCTAAGCTGGTCACATGATCCATGAGAGTCCGTGGACGAACTGACTGATTTCTATCAGATGGGGAAGCGATCTGTTGTAATCTTGTGGCATGTAATATTTCTATAGCTATAGGTTTCAAATCGGTCACTTGTGTTCGTCTTGTTCTATTTTTCGTAAAAAATCTAAAATAAACCCAGTTGTGTGCGATGTTACAGTTTTGGACAGTGGCCGTTACCCTATGATTTCTTATCTTTCCTTCCATTCCGCTTTTTTTTCTGAAAGTTGATCCGAATTTTTAGTGAGTTTTTGTTATAGTATTCATATAATACAATATAACTACATTTTGCTATAATATAGTGCAATATAATGCCTCCAAAAACTTTACCACCTTATCGTGGACGGGAGGTGTTCATGGCTGTTGAGCTGCGATGTAGAGCGGAGGGATTCATCTCCCCAGCAGGGTCTTCCAAGCAGAGGAGGCCGGCGTTTTAAAGAAGTCACATCATGATAAATCTCTATCTGATTCACAAGCGCGGCGACTGCGTGTGACGGTGCCGACCTGGGGCAGATTTTGGCTAGGCTGACATCGGGATCGCAGAGAAACACAATGGCCAAACCTAGCAAAACAAAGAATATGATGCAGTTTTTTCTTTGTATTCGCTGCAGAAATCCACTTGAGTGTTGAGCGCAGTGAAGTTCTGCTTCAACGGATCCCGTTTTCTTTTATCTGGCGAGGTTTCCAATCCTCCATGGCAGTAGCACATTGATTTGCTGGGGTTTCTTTGTGTCATCGTTATGTTCAATTCTTACTATGAGTACAGTTAATGCTAAAAGATGAAGTGATTCCGGTGAGCCAGCAGGTATGAGGAAGTATGTCTGGATCGTAGAAGAGGGCTAAAACCAAGAATGTTTGAATTTAGTAATCCTATTTTATAGACATGCCTGGCCTCAATAAGGTTCTCGCGGGTATAATCCGTTTTCGCAAAACTTTCAGGAAGGATATGGTACGTTTCTTTTGTCCATGATTCTTTTCGGAGTGTCTTAGGATTTTAGTTGCGTGTTGTTTCGAAATAGATAGCTTTCTGTTCGCTACGTGACCATCTTAGCGGTCTTATGTGCTTAAAAAATTTACGTTTTTGATTTATTCTAGTCGTTAGTCTCGATTTTAGTCGGATTCCTATGTTTAAATATTTGGTCGTATGCATGAAAGTGGTTGGAGGCACCACTGCGACACACACGTCGAATCGATCCCTGCGCCCATGACCCACCAAGCCTTCCATCCCTCTGGGGTGTGCAAATTGGTACAAACTTATCTTGGAGGATAGCAGCGCTGACTCGACACATCTATAGGCTATTGCGAGTTATTTTATGGGTCAGATACGCATTCCATCACCTCCAACGATGCTTTATGAAGTCGAATGCATGGCGCATCCCAAGTGATCAACGCAGAAAGCTTTATTCTTTATCCGTTGTGCGTGCAAATGAAAAAATAGCAGAACTATCGGAAGAAGGACTTCAATCTTATCTGATGTCCGGATTTCGTCTTGGTAGCGTTGAGCCATCCATCACTTTCTGTTTTACGTATGGAATGCCTATAGAATACAAGACTTCGATGTTTGCAATGAGACTCTGGAATTCGCAAATCTCTCATTGATGGGCGAATGTCATCTACAATCCCAAATCGTAAGAGATATCCATGTACTGTTTGTTGAGTTCCTTTTCTCTGTGAATGTGCGCATCCCCTACCGTTGTCGATTTTAGTTCGTGCTCCATTTACGATTGAATAAGCAGGAAGTCCAACTATATTGCAATTGTTTAACTTTTTCATCAATATACACATTGATTTGTGTGTCAGGTGAAACAATTCGAACAAATTCGTGACAATCCGAATCCTACAGCGGTCTTTTTCACATGTATGGATTCTCGAATGCTTCCAGCTAGGTGATGCTGGTTTTGTTGCATATTTATTGTGTCATTATGATGTTGGTGGTGACTTTCCTTTCCGACAGGTTATTGTTTAGGTGAAGACACATTTCGTATTTAAACTGTTGAGCCTACACGAGGTCGATAAAGATGTTTATTCGGCTAACATTTCGACGTCTTCGTCTTCATTAGAAGCAGTGGTTCGAGTCTATGATCCGTAGTTGTTGTCTTTCTTGATGTGGCGTACGTCGTTTTCGAATATAATGGAGCATCACTGAAGATGATCCGATGGAACGAAAACGAAGACTCCACATCGAGAAGAGAAACAAGTGTGGAGCATCAACGCGGACCATCGGCTCTGATGGAGACGAAAATGTCGAAACGTTACCCGAATAAACACCTTTGTCAACCTCGTGTGAGATCAAAAATTTAAACAGTCTGATTATTTTAGTACCAAGGTTAAAAGACAGTCGGTTTCATCTGACATATTTTGTGTTTGGAAACGAAATGACTTCTCAAATGTTTCCAGATTCACTTCAAGCCAAGTCGGAGATATGTTTGTCGTACGCAACTCTGGAAATATGATCCCGCATGCCAACAACTACGGTAAGATGTTGAATACATCAACTTCAGGTCTGAAATTTTCTATGGTATATCTCATTTTCAAGGTATAAAGTTGCATATGTAGGTTCATCCGGCTATGAAGTATCAGTAACAACCGAACCAGCAGCTCTTGAGTTAGCCGTTAAACGAGGTCACATTAATAATGTCATCGTATGTGGCCATTCCGATTGCAAGGTAGGTAACAAAAAAGTTTTGTCTACTTTGTACTGAGCCGAGGAATCACCATTATTCTACTCAATTCTCACTTTCTTTGTTCTTCGGGTACACAAGCATTCACTGTTAAATTGATTAAGGCAATTAATACGCTGTACAACATCCATAGATCTCCAAAGTCGTTCGATCCTCAGTCCCCGATGGACCATTGGTTGCGTCGTCACGGTTTCACTTCGTTGAAGAAACTGGAAGGACGTCTGGTGGATAAATCTGACAAGCCATTGCAATTTATCTCGGATAATCCGGTATTTAAGTGAATTTTGACATTATTGGGCATTAAAACGTTGTAGTCTGTTATTCCATTCCAACGATTTGCCTCCTCATCGTGGCTGCGAGCTGTTCTTGGGTGTCTGAGTGCGATGTGTCTCGGCATATTGGTTTCCCTGGCAAGGTCTCCTAAGCTGAGAAGGAGTCCGCGTTTCTATCAGGAAACCCAGGTAGGAATAAACCAATACAAGGATCGACTACCGTCCTGGTATCAAAGTCGCATGGTAGTAACTCTTCCTTTGATGCACAAAGACGGTGACTGCCTGTGGTGGTGACAATTTGGGGCAGACTTTGGCCAGGCTGACTTCAGGACCCTCGGGGAAACACAATGGCTCAACCAGCGAAACTCTGAAAAATAGAATATGCTAGGGCACACACAACTAAGAGTGAAATGGGCCATCTAAGTAATTATCGAAATCTGTTATTTCTAAAAGTTTCATTGTCTTACTTTATTCTACCGCTGCTTATAGCAATATAGGAGTAGAACCACTGCTATAAAAAATACTGTGTGGCCTTCGTTATTGCTATGTAACCTATTGGGTGGTTGCTGACGGCACTGATCGATAGAACTAGCTGAGAGACAGGCGAAACGAAGGACCCGCATGGTGTGGTGATGAAAGAGTCACTTCCCGGAAAGGACAATAGTGCCTTCGTTTCCCACCGCAGACACCTACGGTCCGGAGTTTTGCAAATATCTCAGGAATATTCTGGTTGTATTTCGCTTAATACTCTGCCATAAAAATTATAGAAGGCAGGAAATAAAAAGTAAACACTGCGTGCTCTGTTGCAGCTTTGAAGCGATAATTGATTATGAGGACAAGTGGGGTGTTGAGGATAAGCTCTCGCAAGTCAACACATTACAACAACTTGAAAACATCGCAAGTCATGGATTCATTGCGGTATGTTGAATCTTGAGCCTCAGAACCTGACGTTTTAGATGTCATAGTGTTTTTTTTTTTGGAAAACTCGAGTAGTTCTCGATTGGTCTAGATGTTGACAGTTGTACAAGGAGAAGCACCTGTTGCAACTACGCCGTGTGTGTCGTTTAGTTTTACATGTCGGATTCACGGATCTGGACTTCGTATTAGTCTGAATTGTAGTAGAAGACTGTGTGGTTCGATTTTCTTCTTAATATCTGAATGTGTAGTTGAAATTTCTTCGTTATTATTTGCACACGAACGGTATATGGGACGGCTGAATCGAAAGAAATATATTTAGGAGCATCTGGAGAAAAGGACGGTCGATTTACATGCGATGTGGTTCGACGTCTACACTGGAGAGATGTATCTGTTCAGTAAGCCACGTCGTATGTTTGTGGTGATTGACGAGGACTCCGTCGATTTGCTCAAGAAAGAAATTGAGGAGCACAAGGCTTAAACAGTGTGTCATATTGCCGATGTGTTGCACTTCTCACTACTGATTCTCAGCTGCATGTTATGTCGCTTGGGAAATAAGTTTCATTCCTTTTTTTAAAACTTCTTGTTTTACTTTGTAACACGTTGAAATGCAGATCAAACTCGTTGAAGCTTTGGACGACTTTTAAATTTTTTCACAAATATCCTGTGGCTTTGTGATCCAAGCACTAATCGTTTTATCCCAAAGAGCATCATAAATTAAGGAATTAGTATGGGATCATCTTGACTGATCGTTTACTATTCTTAACCTTACACCTCTTCTTCATTATTCCATTTCATTATACCTAACACGTTTTTTTCTTCTATTTTCCATTGATTGAGACTTCGTAGATTTTACCTTCGACCTTCCCATTCATGCTCAATGTTTCCCTCTAACGTTACATCGCTCCCTTTTCCTTATTTTGATCATATCTGCAATCTTATTCGTTATTCTCACTCGACTAGTCTACAGTAAATCTTTCTTACGGCAATTCACTTAATTCGGGAGATCCTTAGCTGGTTAATTAGGAGGCTTTGTGAAGCTTCCTTGTGTGTTGGACGGTGATGAGTGCACCGATTCCTGAGATGGATTCCCTATTGTCCTTAAGGGAAAATTCGGGCTGAGTTTCTATAGTAGATTGGGAATGTATAAGTATGTTTATGTTTAGGTCAAGGAAAGAATATAATGAGTAACTTTGTTCAAAAACTGTGCACAGTATCCGAACTGCTTAAGGAGCAAGAACATCACGAAGAAATCTGGAAGGAGCAGGAACTTTCGGATCTGCATCCACGTCCTTAGCTTTACTTAATTCCTTCGTCTCAACGTATGCCTCAGGAATCTACGCTCGCGTAGCCAGGACGAAAGATCGGTCAGCGCAATGGTGCACGGTATCTCAGGTGAACTCTAAGAGTATTCTATGGGGGAGAAGATCTAAAGTGCCAATCTCCTCGGACCGTTAAACGTCAGAGACCCTAGCGGATATCCCAAGGTATCGAGAAAATCACGTGAGTCGGGTCGGGAACGTGAGGCATTTTAACAAGAACCGGTGGTCGGGTGAGTTTAGTGCTACGTCAATCGCACAGCAGTAGAACCATCTACCAGTTGATTTTCAACTAATATTTCAGAATAAAGTCACTCTAACCACTTCTGGAGTTGCATGCAGGATTTCACTACTAATGATGGGGAGGAGATACCTCTAAAGTATTACCATTATTAGTAAAGTATTATAGTTCTTCCTATAATAATTGTTGTATATTAGTTGCAAAGGTGTTCCTGGATGTCGGATTGCGATGTACAGCGAGGGAATCATCCCCTGGCAGGGTCTCCCAAGCTGAGAGGGAGTCCGGCGTTCCCATCAGGAAGCATAGCTAAGAGTAAACCAATACCAGGATCCGCCAGCGTCCTGGTATCAAAGTCGCATGGTGGCAAATCTCCCTGTTCAATCTCTGTAATGTTACTTCTGGTTTTCGAACAATATAATGTAATCATTTCTCCAATCCTTAAAGAGTTGTAAAGAGTCACAAGGGCTGCGACTGCCTGCGGTGGTTAAGAGCTGGGGCAGATTTTGGCCAGGTTGACCTTGGGATTCCAGGGAACCATAATGGCTTAACCAGCGAATCTCCGAAATATGGAGATTATGCTGGGGCCCGCACAACCAATGAGGACGGGTCATTCAAGTGTCAAGTATTATAGTTGTTACACGTGGGAAATACCGAATTATTCATTAATTATTTGCGCTGTTGAAGTTTTGCAACTCATTCCTCTTTCTCCAAATTTTATCCCTTTCAAGCAAAAGCTGTGGGAGTTGACGAAACAGAGAAGACAAGATTTTTTCCAATGAGAAAGTGAGTCGGCAGCTCAGGAAACTTGGTGAATAGTGGTGGGTTATTGGAGAATCTCGTCCACCGCCTACCGCGTTCTAAATGCTTAAATGCCATCGTTTATCTACTATATCTATGTGAATTTTTCTGAATATAGTAAGGTTCAAGAATGCCAAAGAATTATACATAAATGCTTAGATGACCATCATCAATGTCGTATGGGTACACGGTACTTTGGCTAGATTGCTTGCAATTACCATCTATGAAAGAAGCGAAGTATAATCACGGGCCTTCAAGTTTTTTGCACATCACAAGTCGTTCAAATGACTTAGCAAAGAATCTGTTATTACGACCAACGCATTACTCAACTGCTAGATGCTACAGGTGGTGTTGAAGAAATCCTACAAAGTAAGTCCGCAGGCATTGTAGCGCAGAATTTCAAAGGCGTTAACCTATATCAGTAAGGACAGGGAATCCAGAGAGTTTAACCAACAATAGAAAACCTTTTAATAGCATTTTCCTTATGTGAATTCTCATAAGGTCTCTTTGGTGTGTTTCACAGATTATAAGTCACAGGATCTACTTTCTATTAACCTCGGCATTGGAATATGAATGTGTCGTTTTCTTGTTCAGCAATCGCGAGGTTTTTAAACAGCATACATTTACTTCCATAAAAAACACAATGCATTGGAATATGAATGTGTCGTTTTCTTGTTCAGCAATCGCGAGGTTTTTAAACAGCATACATTTACTTCCATAAAAACACAATACAATACAACGCTAGCCGACGTTTCGGCAGTATCGTCTTCTTCAGAGCCTGGAAGGGTATACTGATATACAATCTACTAGGCCAAACGCTTCAATAACACTTACAAAAAGACGGGAACCTATGAACACCAATATATTCAACTCCACAATTATTACAAGAGATCAGGTACATCGTGCCTGAACTGTTGCAATTACCGTTCCTGCCGTAAGGGCAAATTACGCAGTTTGTTGTTTCACATAGAATAGAAGTCACGCAAAATGCGGATATAAACGTAAACGTGACATATGACACGTTTATGACACGTAAACGTGTTGAATGACTCCGCAACGCAAGCCATCTTCGAACGTCTTGTTGAACATGAAGGAAGAATAAATATGCATGGATTCGTATGAAATGCTGAGATATTTGCAAAACTCCGGACCACAGGTGTATGGGACAACAGCGCGTGTTCGTTCTCCACTGCATACACCTGTGGTCCGGAATTTTGCAAATATCTCAGCATTTCATACGAGTTATATTTCACAACATACCCTGCCATTAAGAAGAAAAAAGAGTTAAGATTATGCATGGATTGTCCATCCAGCAGCTAATGGCTCTCTTAAAGGTGTGCCTAAACTTCTCGATTTTCAGATGGTCTGGGAAATATTTCGCCCAAGAAGGGGTTTGACAATGGGACAGCGATTGGCGCCAAGCCTGGCCATTGTGTTTATGTCTAAGATAGAAGCCCCTGTTCTCGACCTCCGGCCACTACTCTACTGCAGATATGTAGATGATTGTTTTGTCGTCTTCTCTACGCAAGAGGAGATGGACAAATGCTTTCAATTATAGAGCGAGCAGTCCGAGTACATAAAGTTCACCCGGGAGAAACCGAGAAAACACTGGCTTCCGTTTTTGAGCGCTCAAATAAACCTATCAAGTAGCGGTTACTTGACGAAGTGGTACCGAAAGCCAAGTAACAAGAACATCCTCGCTCACTTCCTCTCTTCCCACCCTTCACACACAAAGAGGGCGATTGTGAGAAACATGTTTCGAACAGCCACCTCTGTGTGCACTACCACGTAACTGAAGGAAGAATCGCGCGACTTGGCTCGGCAAATAGCCATCTCCAACGGCTACGAAATAGTAACCCCACGAGATAAGTTTACAAGGAGAACGACGCGCCCACGCGAAACGCTTGGCCAAAACAAAATCCCGTTTATGTTGCCTTTTATAAGCGACGAAGTAAGCGCAGCTATAAAACGATGCTTAAGAAGGGCAGATCTAGAGGAATCGGTAGCGATAGTTGAAATACCACCGGCTACTCTACGTCGTCAATTAGTCCGTAACCGCCTGTATGACCGTCCATATGAAACAACAAATTCTGTAATTTGCCCTTACGGCAGGGACGGTGATTACATGAATTCAGGTACGATATACCTGATCTCTTGTAATGATTGCGGAGATGAATATATTGGCGAAACGGTCAGACCTATGTGTATCCGTATAAAAGAACACCTAGATGGCACACAAAAACTAAGACGAAGCACCCCACTAGGCACGCATAGGACACGAAAGCATAGCGGAGACTATTTGGAAGTAAAAGTCAATATCCTTGCACAGGAGACTAAAACACCAGCGCGAAAACTTCTTGAGGCTTTTTGGACAAATGCCAAAACCCTACAATGAATAGCAGGGATGAATGCCCAGAGGTCATACGCGACCTGACCCCGTATGTTCGCATCGATTTTTGATATGGGATGGTGTAGTCATCACCATATGCGACCATAATTAGCTGTTCTAAACTTCCCCATTGGATGTCATGTAAAAAGCGGTGGGTTTTTCGAGAAGCTGTTGATCATGTAATTACCATAGAGTTTTTCGCCTTTGGTAAGTGTTATTGAAGCGTTTGGCCTAGTAAATTGTATGTCAGTGTACTCTTCTCGCCTCTGATGAAGGCGATACTACCGAAACGTCAGCTACTGTTGTATTGTATTGTGTTTTTCTATGGAAGTAAATGTATGCTGTTTAAAAACCTCGCGATTGCTGAACGAGAAAACGACGGATTATAAGTCAATTTTCAGATCGCAAAATGTCGTCTACTAATGACATTTGTATCACTGCAGACGAGATGTGGTGGGTGGAAAATGTGAAGCTCTCCACAGTTGATCAGTTATTGTTTGTAATACGGAACGAATAATCTGTATCATGAGCGGACGAGACGAAGTCAAGGACGACCACGCATAGCAAATAAAGCACCGCGCTTTGCTTCCCGATGATGAAATCAGGATCATCGCCAGTTGTACGAAATTACAATGTGTATTCTCTTATTCAGGGATCATCAGTAAAACACTCCAATTTGGGAGGAACGATTTTTTCAACCAAGTTTCGATTACTGAAAATTCTCTTCTCATCAA